AGCCTCTCCCCTGCTCGTGTTAAGTCTCCTGGGGAGGCCGTGAGCTGCCCATGGCTCATGCTGCCTGGCTGTGCGATAAAGACAGGTCGCAAATACAGTTTTGGGGCTAGACAGATTTTTTTTTTTTTCTCCTTCTGCTGCCAAATTTTGAAGCCAGGTGGAGGCGATGCTGACCAGCAGCACACACAGGGCATCTTATTCAACACACAGGCACGGGGGCCCCCGGCACCCTGCCAGCCTCCAACAGAGCTCGGTGGCAGGACGGAGAAGACCCAAGGGGAAGGTTACCCACCGCAGCTGTGACACACACCTGGTCGTAAGCGGGTTTGTGGTTGGCACTCTGCTTCTCACAATGGCTGGGGGGGGTTCTCTCCGCCCCCGGGCTCTCCCCGGGACCACGCAGCACTCAGGATATTGCGAGTTAAAAGTTTCATATCCCCCTAGGGAAGGGTAAAAAAAAAAAAAAAAGAAAAGAAACATGAATGTTTGCATTTCCAAAAACTGGTTTAATTAAGTGGAGGAGAAATGAAGCTCGGGTGCTTGCAATGCAGCGGGATAGCACACGGTGATGGGCCCTGGGGTGTTAATAAGCAACAGTGCTCCCCTGGGGAAGCAGGTTTGTTTAAAAGGCTTCAGGCACCCGAAGAAAAACCTCTGATACTGCTGACAATTATTAACTTGCCAAAAGCTGGTGAATCCAGATTAAAACTGTTAGCGAATGTAATTGTTGAGTCTAGCAACCATTAACTCCAGTACAGCGGGGACTAAACTCCCTCCCCCACGTTTTATATATGAGCACGATTGCCAGCATTTGAGATGGAGATTTCTGTACTCAGTAGTCATCGTCTCTAAATCTGTTACTACTATATACACTGTGACAACACAAGAAATGTTTTATTTGCATTTTTGAATGGACATTGCACAAGAGGGGGATGCTTGCAACTGTGTCATTAATCACCACAATGCACAAGACAGCGAGGTAATGAAGACAGTCCCATTGAAACCAATCTATTAAATAACAGCTATAAAACTTAATGAAATCCTGTGACAGCATTTGACAACTGAATAGCCCCACATGAGCTATTCTGCATGGTTAAGTACTGCATTCGTTTCATTCAGTGCAATGCTAATGAAAAGGAATTAATCCTATTATTACATTGTTACTTAAAGTTTGTCGTCAGCTAAATCGTTGCCTGTTTCCAGGCTGGGAATATGCTGCACAGAAGCACATAATCTCCAAAATGAACATGAATAAGTCAGGTAGCAGAAGCAGCCTGGAAATATCAGTGGTGTGCCACGTGTACCACCTGTGCATTTTCAGAGCAAAAATGATTGGCGAAAGCTCTCGAACAGCTAGGTTCAATAATCCTTTGGAGCATGGCCCTCAAGTAAACAAGGCTCAGAAAGCAAACCCTCTGATGCGATTCATTCACCTGCAACTGTTTCGCCCTGATAAGCGGTGTTGGTGTGGGTGCCCCGGTGCAAGGAAGGGTTTCGAAACAAAGGAAGCACTGAAGATCTGAGCAGCCGCAGGGCCCCCGCCGCCCTCGCTGCCAGGGCTGCCCGGTACAGCTACCTCTGACATTTCAGCCCCGTAACGCCGGTGTCTCATTTGTTTGCAATGTTTGAGCAGATGTGTGCTCAAATTCATGACGTGCTACTGTCGCCCACTCAGTCCTGCCGTGGGGCCCTCGTGTTGCAAGCAGCCAGCGTGATCCAAAGCCCACTGAACGTGATGAAAACGTCTGTTTTCCATGACGGAGGGCAGGATGGTGACTTTGCAGTCAACTGGCTCTCGGCACCTGAAGTTTTCCTCCTACCCCCCAGCCACTCTCAGGCAGCTCACCCCAGAGCTCACAGCGCGAGGCAGAGGGCCAAGCAGCCAAGTGACCATGGAGATTATGGGGGGGTGATAAAATGATATCCACAACAACTGGGTTGATAAAATCATATCCCTAACAACTTGCAGCGTGAGAAGTCAACAAACACAAGCAGCTCTCCAGACTCCTCTGCTCTCCTGATCTCCAACTGCCCTTCATACGATGGACTTATAAATCCTCTTGTTTTGCATAACTTACCTTATCTCCTCCTGCCTCCCAACCACTGCCATCACATAGAAAAAATATGTCCAGATTATATAAATAGCCATTATCCTCATTTACGCCCCATGTTGTTGTTTTTATTCTTGAATGAACACAGAAGTCTGCCCCAGCCAAATCAGCATGTGTGTTCGAACAGACATGCATGTCTCATGTCTCTGGGGCAGCTAATGCATGCAGCTGGCGAATGGTTAATTACAAGCCTTGGGGATCAGGATATTTGCAGGCCATTCTTACAGTGAGTCATCTTCTCATCCTGTCCTCCAGCAATCTCCTCTCTTCCCCCTCCCCACTCAACCTACCTTCCCTGAGGTCATTTCTGCAAATACTAGATTGCTCATCACAGAGAGCTGGGTTGCACTTTGGTTTTAATCGATAAATAATAGAATCCTTGTCAGCACCAAGGGAGGATCCGTTATTTTATCTTTCTTCCCCCGCCACACAATCACTCTCACCCTGCTGGGGCTGAGCTCACCCAGAATGAAACTGCACCTACACAGACAAAAGATGTGACACACTCAACCACTAGAAGCCAGAAAGCGAGGGAAGGAACAGGGCAACTTGGCGTGCAATTGCTCTGCACTAGCTGCTCTGCCTGGGGCCAGATCCCCAGGGTGCTTGGGGACCTGGTGGGGGTGACCTGCTCATATATTATCTCATCACTGTGACTTCCAAGCTGAGACCACCTTAGCCCTCAAGCAGCCAACACCTCCTCCCAGCTCCCCCACACCTGGGGAGAACAGGAATATAAGGGGGGAACCTCAAGGAGGTTTTGTTTCTGGTGGTTTTACAGCCCATTATTTGCAAGGTCGGTGCTACAGACGCCCAAAGGACCCCTTTCTTCTGATCAGTGCCCAGTACTTCAGGATGATTTATACCCCCACTGTCCCAGAGATATTCCCCCAGACCACAACAGCTTCCTGAGGGTCCGTGGCCCCAGTGAATCTGTGCTGCCCACTGAGTCACTGGCTCCTCGGGCCACACTGGATCTGAAATGGAGCTGCACGGGCCTGCGACCCAGAACACTTCCAGCAAAGGGGAACAGCAGCAGGAAAAGGAGGAAACTTTCTCATCCACTAAGGGGTAACCTTTTTAGCCTCAAATCTTTCATGATAAGACACTTTGCAATACACAAAAGGTACAAAGCACAGCCTACCTCAAAACCCCACCCCAGATAAACTGCCCACAGCCGCAGTCACCACTTCAAAGCATGGGGCTGGTACATGAGGAGGGAAGGACGATCTCGTGGCTAAACGGCAGGCTGAGAGTCGGCAGAGCTTAGTTCAGCCCCTGCTTTGCCACAGAGTTCCCAGCGTGACCCTGGAGATGTTTCTTCATCCCGCATTTAATGGGGTCCCCAAGGATTTGCCTGGCTCAGCACAGTGCAAGTATCCCTGCCCTGCAGCAGCAGAATTGATGCTTTTGGGGTGACTGTCAGACCCCAGGGCAGGCTGGTGGTGCCCAGACAGAGCCAGGGTGGTGGCAAACCCCCCTGGGAGTCTCTCTCCCCCTCGGTATCGGGCATTGCCCAGGCTGGAGGTGCCTCTACCCCGGCGGGGATGCCCTCCGGGCACTGGTCGTTGTAGGAGGCACAAACTGGGCACATCAGTACAAAAACTAGCGTGATAAAAGGCTTAATAAAAGTGAATTAACCCTGGCCGGTGAGGACAGCGGGGCAGAGTTTATTCAAGAAACATCGCCTGGTTTCCTCCTCCATTTATGACCTCCCCATGGCCTCAGGATATGGCAAGGGGGGTTGTTTGGGAACTCCTACTTCGGCGCGGCCCCGCTCCGGGGAGCCCTGCGGCCCCGG